GCTTAACATCTATAATTCTCATCTTATTTTGTCATCAACCTATGTACAGTTGAGCTTGTTTTTATTACCAAGTGTTCCTCTATATACCCAACTAACAGTAGGCACATTGAAAATTTTGATCATGGTAACAGTAACAGTAACAAAGGACTTCCATTTACTAAGCATTTACTGTGGGTCAGGTAGTGTACTTACACTATCTCCCTTGGTAATAGTACTCACAAATACTCCATGGAGTAGTTGCTATCATTGCCTTAATTTTATAGGGAGGAATTTTGGCAGGACTTAGTAACTAGCTCAAGGTCAAATACCTACTGGTGGGCCAAAGTTATTATCTCTAATTTTTTTTTTTTTGTGAAGATAAGATGCCTGTTAAAGAACCATTGTTTTTTTCCTGGGGATTTGGATTAGTTACCTAATTTTGTGTTCCTCAGTTTTATCACCTCTGTAATGGGAATAATGAAATGTTGTTGAGGGGAAAATAATAGTATTAAGCTAAAATAATAATACTAAGCTAGTGATACACATAGCACATTTAATCCATTGTATATTGTGAGAATTCACTAGATGTTCAGGGACATGATGCTGCTGCTAATGACAAAGATGATTCTTTTAGTTTTTGATTGATTTTAGCCACAGAATCCATGGCTGAATATGAGCTGCAACTATCCCTTGCATGCCCATGTTGTTTCAATATAGATGAGCGATTTGACTGAAATGTGAAACACCATGAGTCTTTCTTCCTTCCTTGACTAACTGACCTATGCTTTTTTAAACAAAGATTTGTTTGTTATACTGTGTGCAAAACAATTTGCCCATATAAAATCTCATGTGTTGCTCAAAATGACCCAGTGATATAATTGTTATCATTATCTTCCTCACTTTACCAATAAAAAGCAGAAGCTCAAAGTAGTTATGGGGCATGCCTCAAATGACAGAACATCAAGTGGTGAAGATGCAAATCAGAGCCAGCTTTTGGACTCTGCCCATGAGCTTTTCAGTTCACCACCCCATTTAAATTGTGGAAAATTCACTAGTGCTCTGCTGTCACTGTCTTCACGTAACTTTTAATTTTAAACTATTTCTGGATGCTCATGCTTCCTTCTGGCTTTTAATGAATTTGTAATGTCATCTTATGAGAATGTTGTTAACCTTTGGTCTCAGGCTCCGATGATTCTTGACAAACTCTCATTTTCTTTCCCCTGTAAAAATTATTCTATCATCACAGGATGTCTGGAAATTAAAAAAAAAAAAAAAGATCCACAATGCCCACTCTTTATCATCAGTTTTGCTTTCCTTTCTTTCCTCTTTCCCTCTGATTTATTTCACAAACATTTATTGACAAACAGGTATGGATAGCATCTGGCATGCTAGGCTATGTTAATTGCTGAGAATAAAAAGAAACATTAATTGAATTTCTAAACCTGCTCTGATCTTCCTACTTCCTTTCTATCTCATTTCCATCATAGGACTGATTTTCTCTTTGAATTATTTGAATTGCTTTGCTGAAACACTTTTACTAATCCAGTCTAATACAAAACAACTTTTTTACACATATAATTTGCACAATAATTTTTTCTACCCATCTATCTTAATTAGTGAGCACATTCAGATGCATGCGGTTTACTTTGCCTTCCCACTTTTTTTTTTTTGCATGGGAATCCTTATTTAATCTTCTCAAGTTGACTTACATACTCTCTAATCTACTGAATCATAATCAACAATCTCTTTTTAAGCAGGTCTCGAGGTCCACACTTCACCTTTATTCTGTTTAATTTCATTAAAAACGAAGTCCATCTATTTCTCAAAACTCTATGAATGACTAGCAATTTAATGCCAAAATAGAACCATGGAAGTAAATGTTGCATCCTGATATCCACACCAAAGTCAATCTGGTGTTGGACTTCTTTCCAAACTTGTTGGGTTTAAGTTGTGGACATAAGGGGTTTATCATTCACATAGGGGAAGAAGGTTGTTCCTTCTTCCAATTCCTCCAAATCTGGAGGTTTTTACTTTTCTCTCATCCTCTTTAAATTCTTATGTACAATTACTGACATTTCTCTATTTTCATCATAAAATTCTCTGATCCAGATCTAGGCCAACTCTTTGGAAATTTGTTGTTCTGTAATGATTTCTACAGAAAGATTCTTGTAAGATCATACACTAATTCATTCATTCTCCAAGAAGAAACAAGATCAAAACAAAGGATTAATTTAAAATGTCCCAAATGTAGACTTATTTAAAGCCTACAAAACCCAATCCTCTGTGAGTGAGATTAAAGCATGCCTATAGTGTTTATAGTGAGGTGTATGGTATGGGCAGGTTTAAGTGTGATCAGAAAAACCTCCTTTTAAATTATAAGATCCTTAAGAAAAAATAAGATGATGTATGCTCTTTTGCTAGGCTCTCTGGTAACCATGCAGTCAGTTATATAGGCTACTGTTTCCTGCATTGATTCCTCATCCAGTAATGTGTAGGATGGAGACACAGAGAGTGTTGAATAGTGCATCTTTTAAGTGTAATAACATCAGGGAATTCAATCTGGTTCATAAAAATGGGGGGAAAAAGGATCATGACACACATTCCGTCTAAGAAATGGCGTGCAGTAGAAATGACATATATTAGTTTTATGAGAAAGGTTCTTGCCTTGGAAAGGGCAGTGTTCAACGTGCATGGCAACATACACTGTCATATATGAAGTATGATACAGCTTAAGCAGCCAACTCTCTCATTTTACACTGCGCTGGTCAGACATTTATTTATATACTGTAAGAAATTCTATATTCTACAACTAAAGGACTTTGTAGAAGGCTCAGAGTAGATATATGAACCAATTAAAGGATTGAAAATAAGCTGTACAAGGGAAGATGAAAGGAACTGACTTTATTTGGCCCACAATGTACACTTATGTTTTCTTATGTCCATTTAGGTTTTCCATATTTTCACTGAGGAAAAACCCATAAAACTGGAAATAGGCTATAGCAATAGAGCTGTAGGTTAGATAAAAGAAAGAATGTCTGGGTACATGAGATCCTTAAACCGATTCTGATGTGAGGGTGTAAAATCTCTGAACATCACTGGTTGGGACAGATTGGTTATGATACCATTTGAATACGAGGATATCAATCAGACAGCTCCTTTCTAGCCCTACGTTTTTAAGAAACGTCAGTTTAAAATTAATATAATTATTAGCACATGGATTGATTTTCTTGGCATAAACATAAAATATAACAAAACAGTCACCAATGAGTTACTCCATTGAAGTGTTTGTTGAAGGCATAAGAAAAGGTTTACATTTGAGAATATTTCATTATTTAGGTGAATTTAGTTCTTTTTTTAAAACCATGATTTTTTTTCCCCATACTGTACATGCATGGCAGCTTTGAGCCCTTCTTATTTTTTAAAGAGGTACAACAATTATATGACTGAAAGTAGCCTTCTACTGGATGTATTCATACTTTGTTCTGCATAATTATTACTTGAGCAAGCTGATGTAGTATAAAGATCTCTGAATTATGAAGTGGCATTCCACTGTCATCTCTTCTACTAGCTAGCAGTGTGACCTTGGACAGGTCATTTTTGAATGTCATTCCTCAGCTCTCTGTGGCAACCTCAAGACAGTGTTTGAAGAATTGATCTCTTAAGTTCTTTCCTTCCTTGAAACTCTTTTCAGGGATTTTATTAAATCATAATTCAGATAAGTCAGTATTTTATTTTTCACATGCTGAACAATAGTTTTTTAATCATATTTAAAAGTTTTAACACAAATTGTTAGTGAATAGTTAAAATATTATCAAGGTAACTTATTCTAGCATAGAATCCAATAGTAAGTTAGCTAATACAACAAATGGTCACCTTGTACTGTGTACAAGTTTAGAATTAAAACACTTGATTTCTTATGATCCAACTGTCAAACAACTTTCATCTTTCATTTATTATATTTTGTGTTCATCTAATTGATTTGGAAATATACATGAATATCTATTCCCTTCACATACCATTCCACATCATTTCTATAAAATAATTATTTTCATTTTTAAATCTTCAGAAATATAAATGCAACAGGATGTTATGCATAAGTCATTTTATTTCAGTCATTGCTAGATTTTTTTCTTCATATATTGCACATTTAGACATTTAAGATACCTTAAAGAGATTATAGCCCAGTGGAAACCTAATTTTATGATTGTATGAATTATGAATACATGATTGGCTTTTCATGTGATTGCAGTGATTTCTTGCTGCCTTAAAATAATAATACTGAATGTCGCTGTCATTGAGATTTGCTTCAATTCTTCAAAAATGTTCACATAAATATGACCTGAGCAGGGAATCCAGGGAAGTTAATACAAACTAAGTCCAATTCTAATATTTAAATTTTTGAAAGTCAGATTAAATACTATTTAGGATAGAAATAATTTTTGAAGTTTCATGTGTTTACCTTTTTTTCTTTTTAATGAAACCTTTAAGCTGTACATTAGCAGCCTGCACTGTGGTTGAAACTGGTTTGGGGAAATACTGAGGAGTCCAATCTTCATACTTTACGTGACACATAGAATATTCTTTGGAGATTCATTATTAAGAAAAGTTACTCTGGTGCTATCTACTCTCCCTGTTGGCAAAGGAAGGGGAGATCAAAAGAAATCATTTACACCTCACACTTAAGGGTGAGAATATGTATTTGTTTTGTATTATGCCATGGAATAGGAAATCTGGTCTTATTCATAAAAAAGTTAAGATGAAAAGGTACTAAAATAAAATCTTAGTTTATGGAGGAAAAGAGTAAAATCTCTCTGGAGCCTATTCTAGAACTGACATTGTGCTAAAACAATTTGACTCGCAGTTTTCTGCTCCCTAAACATTTTCCACTTCTAAATTTCATAGCTTAGCTCCCAAACATAGGAAACCACCACTCCGGGCATGATGCTAACATTTCTGTCAAACTTTCTGCCTCTTCAAAGACCGCCTCAAAATATAAAGACAGAGAGTCCACAGCGTCTTACCTAGACAACGAGCAGCTGAAACGCCCAGGCATGACATTGTTCAACACTCAGGCTAGGAAAGAAGTCCGTCCCCGTGAGTTCCTCCAAAATATAAGTTCACATTTCGTGGTTGAGATCATGGCTCTATTCTAAGCAGTTTCACGCAGAGTGTGATTCTCACAAAAACACCCTCTGCAGCTGGAGGGAGCCTTGGCTAAAGCAGGAGTCTGTCGAGGCGTTCCTAGTGACTTCTGTCCACTCAATTCAGACTGATGTCTTGCGAAAGGGGCCTCCACAAGCAGGCCCAGATTGCCTGGGAAGCATTTCCTGCCTCTGAGGAGTGCATGTGAGAAAAAGTGCACGAAGCAGAGGGAGGGGGGCAGAGCAGAGCCCGCCTGGGCGATGTAGGAGTTCTGATTTTACACAGAACTGAAGTGAGTTTGTCAAAGCTCTTGAGGTGATTAGCTGGAGAGTCATAAAGTCGTAGAGCTTTCTCTATCCCACATTGCTGGTGAATTAAGAAAGAAAAGAAAAGCAAGGAAAGGAAATAGTTTTCTCTCTCCTCTACAGCTTTCCCACTATATTAAATGTATATGCACAACTTCTTCAAAATACCTTTGCCGTTCTCCTTGCAAAAGATCTCTCATGACAGCAAGATGAATTCAGAATCTTAAAACTGTCATCCCCTAAACAGGAAAACTTTTGTTGTTGTTGTTGTTTTTACACTGCTTACAACTTAAAATGCTGCACCCCTACATCCTGTACCTGAGAGGATCTGTGAGTAAAATCCCAAGAAGCCAGTAAATAGAACATGGTCTTCAAATCTCTCCCATCCCAGGAATCCTTCAGAGAATTCAAGTAGTTTGTGTCATGGCATAGGCAGCGTCACCTCCAGTCGGAATCCTCCAGTCACACAAACGCAGTGCTGGGAAAGCTGAAGACAGACTCCATCTTGATCCTATTACAGTCTTGCTGACATTAACCACTTGCAACTTCTTCCATCCAGCATGACAGAGTCCCTGAATCACATCTCCAGAGCAGCTCACGGTATCTGCCTCCTTTGTCCGACACAAATTTCGTGAACTATCATCTGTTTATCTTTTCTGCTTTCTTGTGCCTCCACTGAATGACTTCCTCCTAGCCGCTCCAGGCTGGGAACTTGGACTACCATTTGGTTTTGATTAAAACCAGACAGCCAACTCTGGAGAATTTAGGGAATAAGCTAATGGAAACTGCAAGTATGGCTTTAATTAGTGCATCAATTAATAATAGATGTGAGTTCGTCTTATAATAAGATGACACAAATATCAACACAGAGGAAGCTCAAGTCCTTTCAGGAAAGAAGTTATACCAATTCTCATTCCTTTATGACCCAGAATTCTCCTTAGGGAAAGGGGAAGGAAAGAAGAGGGATGTGGCCTTGGGACATCCAGGTTGGGGAGAGGCCAGTGGAGCAGCTTTATTGTTTATACCAGAGAAAGAGGAAACAGTATCTCTGAGTTTAATTATCTTGCTTGGGTGAAATTGCTCTGTAATGCCTCCCTTCTACTTTATTTACAATCAATGGATTCTCTCACTATTTATGACCTAAGCATTTTTTTTTTCCTGTGACTGGTGATTAGATTAATCTGATTATTGGGTCTACGTGCAGCTTACAAATTCCTAGGGATTCCCCATAATGAGAGTTACAAGAACAATTCTAATTTCAATATGATAAATGAGTAACATATAGAGAGCTACAAGAAATATTAAATGCTTTAGCCCTAAAATCCACTCTGTACGTCTCTGACATTGTAAGTAGTTTGCATTGTTCATTTTTTTTTTCCAGTTGGTTCTTTTTATAAAGACCTGACAGATACCTGGATATCACAATGGCCATCTTTTTAGTATCCCTGGAGAATACTGGGTAGGTGGTAGCTCAAAGTAGTATGATGTGATAACTATTATTTCTTTTCTCATTGGATAACTAAAATCTCTCAAAATTAATGCAAAGCATGGACTATGAGAGAAATAGGAAATGGCAAGATTAACATATCACACGTGAATTTGAAGACAAGAAGCATTCAAACCCAAACACGTGGGCAGAAGCAAGTTTTAAAAGTTTCTATCAAAACATTACTGATTAAAAAATGAGCACTTAGATTCCTTTCATTTAAACTTCAACCATATGGCAAGAAGGAAGTCCATACTCTCCTAAATCCTTTAAAGAGCTACTGTCTTCATATTAATTGAAAATACTTCCACTGAAACCATGCCCATATAATCTTCCCAGTAATCTTTGCGTGTGCTCTTATTTTTATTTTAAAAATAAAGCACTAGAAGTTTGTGGAATTATTTTTCTCATAATCACATGATGGAAAGTGACCAGGTCCATACCAGAACTCAGATTTTCTAACTCTCGATTTTGTGTCTTTTCCCCCTCCCTCTGAGAGCTCGACTGCCTCTCTTGACTCACACTTAATTGCTGTGTGAAATGGGGAAGACTTCGTAAACTTTCTGAGTTTCAGATTCCCCTTTAAAAATAGGGACAACTCCACATAACTCACAGATTGGAACGCAGGACTAGCTTTATATACACATATATTTATAAATTTATATTTATTTCCCTTAGGAAAACACTGGAGCAGAATGGAATGAGAATTGATGTAAGTTCTTTCCTAAAATAACTTGTTTATCTCTATCTCTGCCCCTAGTCCTCTGGTCTTCTAGTAGGTAGTAGGCGCTCAATAAATATTAGCTCGCTACTAATTCTCCTTAGCTAGTTTCTCCTCATGAGTACTATAATCACTCCTCACACAATCTAGCCTTGTTCCTGTTTATATTGGCCTGAGGTAACAACAAAACCCTATTCACGTACATTTATAAATGCCTTTATAGATATCTAGACACTCTTAATACTAATTTTCTCCTTAATGTTCTCGTCTCTAAACAAATAAGACTTCATGCTTTATTCTATTATTAGAAGGATTACTTCCCAAATCTTTAATCACTCTTATTTATTTTTCATCCTTCAGTTGCCTGACTCCAAACAAATCTCAGAACTTATATTCTCATAAAGGCTTTACCAAATATGAGTATGAAGATAAATAAGTTCTTGATATTTAACATGATGTCAGGCACATAGAAGGGGTCCAAAGTATTTGCCCTCTTCTTTCTTCATGTTAATCTAAATACATCACTTCCTTAAATGTTTGCTTCTTACTCTGTGGTAGGTAAACTAATAAAATATGGTATAGAAGCAGTTACAAAGTTGAAAGTAGGGTATCAGGATAGGAGTCTGGCTCCAAAACTAACAACCTTGATGACCCCATGCAAGTTACTTAAGCTGTGTAAGCCTCAGTTTTAGCCTCTGGATCTAAGGATTTTTCAAAATTAGAGATGATAGTCCATGTAGAGCCATTAGACATTATGGCTGGTGCAGTATTCATTTTTAACTAGAATTTTTTTTACTATTTAAATTATCACGCTTTCTCATCCTTACATTGCTCTTCTGTGATAATTAAAAAAAAAATCTATCGATCTTTTGAACTCTGCGTTAAATGTATGCATTTGGAACAGTTTTATTGGTGGAGAAATTATGTACTTTTTTTTTTAATAAGAAAGGAAAATAGCAGAATAAGGCTTAGAAGTTACTGTGAAGAACAACTTTCTTCCCAGGTACTATGATGTAAATAATACACATCAGCTGTGACAGACTGGCCAATTCCCAGTCGTCTTCAGGAAATTTGTCCCTGGATTTCTTCTACGGGATGGCTCAAGGACTCTCATGCAGTCCAACAACCCCTCGGCTGTGCAAAGGGAGATTTATTCTGTGGAAAGAATGTTGTACTCTTTGCAATTGAGTAGCAAACATCATTAGTTCAGCACCCACATTTAACATTTGTGATATTGTGAGTGTAAGTAGGCTTTGATTCTTTCCATCTGTAGGAAGGAATAGCATCATTAGAATGATAAACTTGTAATTAATATGCATATAGAGAGAATGGGTGTCTTTACAGCACTCCAGAAGGACCCACACGTGTACATTTAGTGTAATAAATGTAGGAGCATTTTGCCTATGAAAATTAATCCTCTCAACATCTGTATTTATTTGCCTGCAGCTCATTGTAGTTACCACATGTATGTCAAAGTAATAAAAATATATTTGACCGGATAAAATAAATATATTTGACAGGATTTCTATATTTTTGCTGTTTGCATATAATAATATGTATGTACATTATTAGTTTTTTTGAATCAACTTTGTCAAACTTCTGACACTCCACTTTCACTAAACACGTAGTATTCATCCAAAAGTGTTTATTAAAGGAACACAATTAAGTTTGATGATCAACTAATAAAAGGATCAAAGTCATATAAATTCTCCAAAACTAACTGTACCTGTTTATTGGGTTATTCTGTTCATTGATTCCCTTTGTTGAAAATTATTACAACCCAAGAATAACTATAAAGTATCTTGATAAATTTCAAATAGCTTGGAAAACAATCTTAGCAAGTATTAAAAATTACAATTGGCACAAGCACAATAGTATATATGGTTTTGGAAACTGATAATTCTCTCTGCCTGTCCAGCAGGGCCAGGATACTCTCAGAAATATGAAGATTCCAAGCCATGCCTGACTTGTTTTAGAGAGGTCTGGGTTTGCCCAGCCAGTAGAGGCTGAGGTTCTATGCCGCACAAAGAATTTGTTCTCTATGAAAACTTAATATCACCATGAAGTACATTTCAGTATTCTTGCTAAGCATTATGTTAACATTCTCCAAAATTCTCATTTCATGGCTAAAAATGTCCCTGTAACTTCAGTCTATTAAAGAAAAATGTTCCCTCTTCACCTTTGGCCTAGAGCTCACCCTCTCTCTAGCTTCTCCCACAGTGCTCTCAAGTGAGGCCACACGTTACCTCTTATATGCTCTGTTCACCTGGGAAAGAGGTGAAACTGCCTGTGTCCAGGTTCCTTCTCAATAAAATACGATCCAGTTAAATCTCTGTCCTTTGAGAGCCATTCGACCTGACCGTTTATCCCATAGTCTATTCTAGACTAGAGGCCACATTCTCAGCCCACCAGTGGGGGGAGGTGGGGAGATCATGAAGTTGTTACAAAGGCTCGTGTCCTTGAAGGAATATCTGTTCCATTTCTATTAAAATATAAATATACTTTTTATGTTTTTCCCCTTAAAAGAGAACCATTTGAGAGCTTCAGTATACACAAAAAGGAAATATACTTAATATCCATCCACACATTCTATATTTACTTGCATTTATTGTGTTCATGGTATTGTTCTGTACTTGGAATACATCATTAAAAACAATCAGACCAATGAGCACTGTGAATTGTGTAA